TCTAAAGTAATAAAAAGAAATAAAATGTTTAATAGCAACATTGAAAGTGAACATCTTGTCTTTCTGATCTTAACAGGAAAGTAGTCATCTTTTACTATTAAAAAGGATGATAGTTGGAGATTTTTCCATAGATGCACCTTATCTTTATGGGAGAGGTTTAAGAAACTCTCTCCTATTCCTAATTTGTTGAGATCTTATTAGAATTGATGCTGAAATTTGTCAAATGCTTTTCTGCATGTATTAAGACAACTATATAGTTTTCTTTTTTAGGTGGTAAATATGGTAAAATTATATTGATCAATATTTGGATGGTAGACAAAATTTGGATTCCTGGAATAAAACTTCATTTGGTCATAATGCATTATCTTTTTAATATTTAGCTATATTTAATTTGTTAGAATTTTGACTCTTTGTTCAAAAGGAATATCACCTGTGAGTTTTTTCCCCTCCTCATTCTTCTTTTAATGTTATTGTTAGATTTTAATATCAGCATATTGCTATCCTCATGGAATGAGGTAGGAAGTAGGAAGTTCTTCCTCATTTTCATTTTTTTAAAAGGGTGGGAGTCTAGCTCCTCCACATATTTTTCTGTTATTTCTTTTAAATTTAATTCCATATTATTATTTTTACAGGCACACATTAGCTGTGTGCCTCTGGCTTAGGGTCTCACACAGAATTCAGTCATAATCGCAGCCATGGCTGAACTCCTCTTAAGGCTTGACTAGGGGAGAATCTGCTCTACACTTATTCACATTGCTGTTAGCAGGTTTTAGAAGCTCTATTTCCAAGTTCACTGTTATGGATATTGGCAATCCCAGGTACTCACAGGCTACAGCCTGGAAACTTCAGTTCCTTGTCATGTGGCCCTCTCCACAGGCAGCTTACCATATGGCTGTGAGCAAGTGGAGGTGTGAGAGAGATCCAAGGTGGAAGCCACAATCTTTTGTAACCTACTACTAGAAGTGACATCCCTTAATAAGCAAATCAGTAAATCCAGTGCAAAATCTCCACTCAAAGAGATTGTTGTTCATAATATTACCTTATTACCCTTCTAATATCTGTAGAATCCATAGTGATGTCACTTCTCCCATTCCTTATTTGGGAAATTATATCTCCCTCTCTCCTCCTTCTCTCTGTTTCTTTCCCTGATTAGTTTGGCTAGAGGTGGTTGATGTTATTGGTCTTCACAAAGATTCAACTTTTGGTTTCACTGATTTTTTTTTTCATGTTGTATTCCATTTCATCAATTTCCACTAATCTTTATCATTTCCTTTCTTCTATTTAGTTTAGGACTTATTTGCTCTAATTTTTTTTTCTTTTTCTATGATGGAAGGTAAGGTCATTGACATGAGGCCTTTCTTCTTTCTATACTTCAGAATTTTGTGCTATAAATCTTCCCTATAGTACCCCTTTTAAAGTCACCCAACAAATTTTGATATATTGCCTTTTCATTTTCATTCAGTTCAAAATACTTCCTAATTTCCTTTTTGATTTTTTTCTTTGACCATGAGTTTTTTTAAGTGTTCTACTTAGCTCCTGAATATTTTAAAATTTTCCAGAAATTCTTCTGTTATTGCTTTTTAATTTAATTCCATTGTATTCAGAGAACATACTTCGTATGACTTGAATCCTTTTAAATTTTGTAAAACATTTTTTATGGCCCAGAATATGCTCTATCTTGGTAAATGTTCCATGTGTACTTGAAAAGAAATTTATAGTCTGCTGTTGTTGGGTGAAGGCTTGCATAAATGCCAATTAGGTCAAGTTGATTGATAGGATTGTTCAAGTTTCTTATATTTTTACCGATTTTCTGTTGTAGATTACATTTTTAAATTTTTATCAAAAATGCAAGATCTGCAACTGAAATTAAATATTATTGCATTATTTTTTTTGTCAAAAGGGTTTTTTCCTCTAGCATAGGCATGCCTGAGAAAGTACACACGTACATACACACGTACACACACACATACACACACACATAAATTTAGAGACCACAGAACTTAAATGACATTGAACATTGAACTGTGATGCTGCACCTTTGAACAAATTTTGTAGCTCAGTAAAGTACTTTTGAAAATGAGTTATTTTATATTTCCTGTCTGACCTTGTAAGTTCCTTAATTACAAAATGTATTCTTATTCACAGTGACTCCTATTATTTTATTCTTTATGCCAAATCATGCTTCCACTGCAAAGACAACAGGCAGCAAAATTTTAATAAAATGAAAGAAATATAGATATTTTTATGTTAATGCTATTTATAGCTGCTTTCTGTTTTAACAGATATACAAATGCTTGACAAGCTTTGCATTCTGTAAAACTGTGTATAAAAATAATGGGTTAGAAGAAAAATATGATGGTGCTCTAATGCTTGACACACATTTAACTTTCTAGTGAGTATTAGTAAAATAATAAATATCCCAATTAAAATATTAGCACTCAGTAAATATCCACAACCATTTACAGCCAGAATGATAGCTGATTTTCTTTATATATATATATATATATATATATATATATATATATACATAAATTCTTTAGTTGTAGATGGACACAATATCTTTTTTTATTTATTTATGTGGTGCTGAGGATCAATCCCAATGCCTCACATGTGCTAGGCAAGTACTCTACCACTGAGCTACAACCCCTGCCTTCAATCTCTCCCCTATCTTCTATAGCCTTCAATGTCAAGTATAGGTCCTAGAGCACTTATTGCCAATAGATAATATTGTCATTAAAATTAAAAATATGCTCTGATACGTGCTTTCTTCAACATTCAGTTGCAGTTTTAAAATATAAGGCAAATGTCTCTTCTGCTTATTCATCTATACAACTTCATGTGCAGCAAAGACTCAGTTTCTGAAGTCATTAAGCCACCTATTACTTGCACAACAGGAAAGCATTGACATGGTATTCTCAGTGTAGTCTTCCTCTTTAACTGTGAGAGAGCTTGCCCCTGAGTGCTTTAAACTACCAGTTTGCTGGAAGAAAAATGATAGGTGGAATGATGATATCTTTTTCTTATTTGTCAGTCAGGTTTAAATTTCATTAATAAAATATGCTGTAGTTCAAGAGACTGTTCCTTTATTGTTCTAACCTTGAAATGAATGATTTTCCTAGTCACTTTCTTGGTATCACTCAATATTAGGATTTAAATATCCTTATTTTCAAGATTACTGAACACTGTTTACTTAGTACCTATTGTGTTCCAGAATCTGTTCTAATTGCTGGAGGAAAAGTGGTGAGTATGATAGATAAGATCCTTGTATTCACAGGCTTTACATTCTAGAAAGGGATACTGACAAAACAGACAATTCAATCAACACAGTAATATCAGATAGTTACATAAAATAAAACATGGCGATGGTATGTGGAATGAGATGGGCTGGGTGGCCATTGGGCAGAGAGGCTCCTTTAGATAAGATGGTGTTATGGTTTGGATGTGAGATATCCCCCAAAAGCTCATGTGTGAGATAATGCAAGAAGGTTCAGAGAAGAAATGATTGGGTTATGAGAGCCTTGACCCAGACAGCGACGGGATTAAGTGAGTGGTAACTGAAGGCTGGTGGGGTGTGGCTGGAGGAGGTGGGGCACTAGGGGTGTAGATTTGGGGTACCTATTTGTATCTGGTGAATGGAGTCTCTCTCTGCTTCCTGATCATCATGTGAGCGGGTTCCCTCTGACACACTCTTCTTCCATGAGGTTCTGCCACACTCAGCCCCAAGGAATGGAGCCGGTCTTCTATGGACTCAGAGCCCTGTGATAAACTTTTCTCCCCTAAAATTGTTCTGGTCAGATATTTCAGTCACAGAAGCGAAAAAGCTGACTACAACAGCTGGTCAGAGAAGTTTTCTCTGAAGAGGTGACACTAGAGCCAAGACCTATAAGATGAGGAGGCATGGGCCACAGGAAGATCTGGAGAAGACTGTCAGACAGAGGGAACAATAAAGGGACAGAAAGCACAAAGACCTTAAGATGGGAGTAAGCTTAGTGTGTCTGAGAAACAGAATGAAAAGTGGCTGGGGAAGCTTGGGGGTGTATTCCAGTTTGAGTGCTACACGTCACATGCTGAGGCTGACCCAGCCAATCAGGTCAATGTTACTTAGCAATTCCCTGTCTGTGGTGCTTAAAATGGCAAGTGGCACCCCAAAATGCTTGCTAGATAATTACAACCGACAGATCCTCATCTAAGTGCCAAATCTATCATAGGCAATGGAGTACAATACACTTGATCACTACCAGGTGTGAGACTCGAGTGGGACTAGATGAGTCTGGCCTCTGGGGAGGGGTTGAATTCTGATTATAGGCTCCAACCAGAAGTCAGCTAGATGGCAGGGAGAGAGGGCTGAAGCTGGGCTTCTCCAGAAGCAGACTGGAACAGTGGGGCCAGATGAAGGTGTAAGTGTTGAGGTGGGAGAGATGGGGTGGGCCCCAAAGGAAGGATTAAAGAGCTTAGTAAAGGCAAGAGTCTGTGTGTTCTTTCAGAAAAGTCCCCAATTGCTCCTTTTGCCAGGCTTGGGAACCAGAGATGCTTACCCTGATGCACCAGTGATGTCTCTGCCCACCAGAACTGTCTAGCAGAATAGCCAGGCAGTAAAACTCCACGGTTCTATGAAAACCTTAACCCAGATTGATTCCATTGTGAAGTCTATACACTTTTATATTGTTTTGCACATTTTATCTACGGGGTCTCTGTTTTTCATACAAATACCTCATTTTCTTACAAGGACTGTCCCTCCTATATGGAGAGAGATTTTTCGTTCTCTTCTTTGGATACTCACTGTATAATTGGTACAATACTGGGCGGAGCTTTCTCTGCTCAGGAGGAAACTGTACTACCAGGTACAGTAGTATTTCAGAGGGAACTTCTCATGTGACTCACACAGTGGGAGACAAGCTTTGCTGATACTGGCTGGATGCTTGTGGTGCCAATATGATGTTAGCACTCTAAGTTTCACAGTTTGGGCCATAGGCGATGAACAAAGGCCCGGGGCTGCTTACCTGTTCTTCCTGCAGCGAATTGTGAAGGCAAGGAAGAAGAGTATCAAAAGTAGTCCACAGCTGAGAAAAGTCCAAATAACACCCAAGAGGGCAGGAGACAATGAAGGGACCGTCTTACTGCTATGCTGGGAAGAGGTCTGAAGACAGAGGAAAGAGAAGCTGTTAGGAATGAAGGATCTTCTGCAGATCAGCACCAACGCTGGGAAATACATGTTCTTACTTAGGCATTTCTCCTCTCTCCTTCCTCCCCCACCTCACTGCCAACAACAACAATAATGTGAGCACCCCTGATGCCCCTTGACTGCTCACTTACAATTGTTGTCCTGCAGAGATCTTGAAGGGGTCTCTGATCCAGCTCCTGGCCAGGAAAACTGTCACAAAATTCAGAGCAGTTTATTTCAGGCTCCATGTCACCACATGCCCTCTTGGTGTGTACTTATTCACAGTCTTAGTCATCCACTGGTAAGGGAGGCAGACCTTTGAAACACAAAAGCAACTCCAGTCTTTTCTTCAGAAGCCCCATTTTGGAGCTGGCTTCTGGCTGAAATCCGGAATAAATGACAAATTCGGATGGAAGCAAAGGCTTACTTCATTAGGCTCCTTCATCAGACATACTCCAACATCAGACATCCTTCAATGGGTCCCCTGCTGCTAGAGTGTACTATGTGTGCCAAAAGTGGACATTTTGGTAACCCTTAGGTCACAAAAAGTGATGATTCTGGCTCACCACCAGAGGGCGGTCACTGTTCCAAATACTCTCACGCTGGGCCTTGAAGAAAGGAAAGCAACTGTGTTAACAAGCACAAACACAAATTTTTAAAATATTTTTTATATTATCATATGCAATTATATTTTACTGTATAATTATGTACTTATATACTACAAAGGTTAAAGATATACAGTACTTTGGTATAATTTTAATCCATTATTATAAATAATACTTTAAAAACAAAGATAAAGCACATCTAGCAATTTCTAGGTAAAAAGTTCTGCAGTCTGTCTTCAGATTCCTTTCATGGCCCATTACTGTAAAAACTTTACATTAGATGTGTAAGACACATTGTTTTTCCTTCCCTCCTAGGAAACCTCCTGCTCTTCTAAGATTTTCCCATGTAACTTCTGGTTTAATCTCCGTCTGATCCTCGGTGGTACTGGGCTTGGTGCCCATGCTGTCTCCATACATGATCTATCACTCTACCTCTTGTTCTCTCAGAGTGTGGAAGAATATTCTATGTCCAGTGAATGGGGGTTTTTGAGAGGTCTTGTTTGCTTGTTTTTGTTTGTTTGTTCATTGGTGCCAGGAAGTGAATCTAGTAGTTAAGCACTATTGGGTCACATCCCCAACCCTTTTTATTTTTTATTTTAAGACAGAGTTTCACCAAGTTGCTTAGGGCCTTGCTAAATTACTGAGGCTGGCCTTGAACCTGCAATCCTCCTGCCTTGGCCTCGTGAGCCACGGGATTATAGGTATGTGCTACCATGCCCAGTTTGTTTGCTTGTTTTTAAAAATATATACTGACAGAGTTTAGGTTGTCTACTCAGGTAATAATAGGAAGAAGAACTTGGAAGTAGAAATTCCTTCTAAATGAATGGTCGAAGATGGTATCATTTTTCTCAGAAGATGCCTTCAATATAAATAGTGTGATCTAAAAAGAAGCTCAACCTTGAACAGCAAAGGCAGAAAGGCCAAAAGGCCAAAAGGCTCAAATAAATCTTTTAGTAGAAAAGCAATCTTTTCTACTAATTTTTAAAGCAACCTATTCCTTAATAGAGAAAATAGATTTGAAATTTGACTGAAGCAATTCAGAGGATGCCACTTCTGCTTTGTGTTTTTGAAACAGCATAGCACCATATTCTTTGTGGAGGAAAATGGGATAAAAATATTAACAACTATTATCTATAGTCACTGAGCATAGGACCTGTGTTTAAGCCAGAATAATAGTGACAGGTGTAGAATGCCATCTCAGATTCTGTGTGCTTAGGCATGAACAATATGGCACCAGGTGCTGCCCATCCATTGGCCTCTAATATGTTCCTGAATTATTTACCAGGTTCATTATAATGACATCCCAGGAGAATGAAAATCCACTCTCTCTCGTCAAGACATTTAAGTTCTTGTGCAGCTTGGAGAGATTACTAAATGCAAAATTAACAATCAAATATAAAAATCTTACTCTTTGTATTCTAATTTAGTTATGACTTTAATTGCTAAAAGGGCACTCTTTTTCTTTTTTTCTTTTTTATAGTTAGACATCCCCTATTAAGCCTCCTAGCAGAGAACAATATCACAAACCACAGGGGGGATTACACATTACATTACAAATTAGAAGATATATTTTTTTCTATACTGCCATTTTAATTATACTGGCAAATTAAGTACACTTATCTATGAATCATTATTAAATCCATGCATATTGTATCCTTATATGGAAGAAGTATGTGTTTATGTATAGGTATTCCTGTATATATAAAACCTCACTTTGTTCTCACTACAGCAGTGTTGTGTGGCATAAACAACACCATTCCTCATTTTCAAATAAGTAAATTGAGCAGAGAAGTGGAGAACCTTATTCCAAACCTACAGAGGCAGACTTGTATCTAGTAGTTTGCAATCCAAGGTCAATGTCTTCCCAGCGCACACTGTACACAGGGCAGACACTATAGACTGACCTGGGTTTTTCCAGCTTTAGTTCCCAAGCTGCACTTCTGTGGTGCCCTGGAGTGAGACACACCATGGTGCATCTATACCAGTGACTCTCAACTAGGGCAATTTTGTACCTCCAGGGGACATCTGGCAGTATCTGTAGACATCTGTGGTTGTCAAAATTGGGAGGAGAGTGCTACTGACATCCAGTGGGCAGAGGCCAAGGATCTGCTAAACATTCGTAGAATGGTCCAAACAACAAAGAATTATCCAGCCCTAGATGCTAACTATACTAAGGCTGAGAAACCCTGATTGACATTGTGACTCTCAGAAGAGATAATAATCTACAAGGCTACATTGCACATGTTCTCTGCTGGAGTTGTAATTCACTTGTTAATTTGGGACATAGTCATTTCTGAGATCTTCTGGTACCATACCCAATGTCTCGATTACTTTGTTCCTATGATGGGTGTATACTCAAGGATACATAAATCTGACTAAAATGGGGAGGAAAGGTAATCCTGTTTCCCCTGAGATTAGGGAGGGGGAGAGATTAAGGAGAACAGGGAGAGAAGAAAAGAAAGAAACATCCTTTTAAAAATAAGTTGTAGTGGCAGAGCAGCAAGGGTTATATATATTCAAAGCATAAAGTAGACCACTGTTATATTCTCCCACTATCCATTTCTACATTCCATTTCTATGGCAAAATTGGCAATGACATCTCCAAGCTGCCTCCTGCTGAAAGAAGGTGAAGTTTGGGGAAGTAATCCAAAATCCTTGTTCTCTATCAGATGTGGCGTGGACAGTTAAGGGTATTCAGCATCAGAGAAGTCCAGAGGTCCACAGAAGCAGATGTCAGGTAACTTTGCAAAGCATACATAGGGCAAGGATCATGCTAAGACAATAATAAACAAGATAGCAAAGCATTACTTTTTTTGTAACTAATTAGCACAAAAGCAATTAGCATTTCAGCCAGTCTCTGAAAACCATGAAACAGTAACTCATAATCATATCAGTGGGAAACAGATCAAGTTTATCAATGTAGGAGGTTAGGAATATTTGTAGGTCTATGAGATCAGGCTCAAATTAACTCAGGACAAACTTGCAACCTTAGAGTCCTTTATGATCATTATTATTGTGCACTCCCACACAAAAACCCTTCCTTTATGGCCTCCAGCTTTACTTACTTTAAGTAGGGCTGACACAAACGTACATTTAAGTTACATTTTTTAAAAAAAAAACATTGTTTTTCCTTTTAAAAGTCCATGTAGGACTATGCTTAGGCTGTAGTCTCCTGCCAGATATTTAGGACCACATTGATCAAAATTGACCCTGTTCCTATCTACTTGTAAGAGTCAGCCAAGATTCCTCAAAGATCACTTTTAGGGACATATGTAAAGCCTCTAAGCTCCTTTAGCTTTCCTCCACCAGTGGCGCCATCTGCCAGGATAGGTCAGGGTCTGCCTGACCATACTTGGCTTCTCTTGGAAATATCAGGGACATTTCCTTCCCCAATGACCCTCCTCTTTGCAGAATGTGCACTGGTTGGCTTCCTGATCTTTAGGGTCCTCTATAAATATGTTCCTAATGTCTCCTTGGACAGACTAAATTCATTAGAATAGAATTTTGAAATGTGAGGCCCCCTTCAGCCTATGGGTATCCAGTGAAGGAACTTTATATACAATGATATTAGGCTCTTTCCTGTATGGGGCAGACATACCATTCCAAATTTGGCGCACACAGAAGTCTACATACAAGGAGCTGGTGAAATAGTGAAAGGCTCAGTCATTAAAAAAGAGAGAGTAAATGGTTTCACAAAGTGTGTGTGATTGGGAAAGTGTGTGGGGAATAATCAGAGTCAGAGTTAGGGAGTAAAGGTGAGACATCAGACCATAAGATAGATACAGAATCCAAGGCTCAAGGAGAAAGATCTGCCAGCCTCCTTCTAAAGCAACCTTCCCCCTACTTCTCTACACAAAAAGCCTCTACGGTGAACATTCTACAGACAGTAGCAGATCCAAGCCCATGGATAGTAGTACTTGCAATTTATTTCATGGAAATTATAGATTCCTTCCCAGTGATTAGGATTAGAAAAGTAGATGCTGCATCATCTACACTGTTCCAAATACAAGATGATAGTTTACAAGTTCACAGCTCTCAACAGCCCCATATCTTTCCACAAAATCCCCTCAATTCTTCTACACATTACTTCTGACCATTGAAAAATGAATCATACTACCACTATCTTTAACGAGTTGTTTTGCCATTGGTAGGACTTCTGCTTATGAAGAATTAACTGCTAAATGAATTGCTTTCCTCCTATAAACAACTTGAAAACTAGACAAAACATATGAAACAACTCTTTTCAGGCACTGGACAATAGAGATGATAGGACTATGGTTTCCAACTAATGCTGCCTGAAGTCAGTTTCTGGGCTATAGCACATGGAGGGAAAACCAAACAAAAGTAGTAAAGTCTTGTTGATTTAAGAATAGATTGGAGTTTGGGAATGCTGGGGTGACAGGCAGTATAATAGAAAAGAGGAAGTTGAGTTCTTTGATTATTCTCAGGCTTTTAAAATGCATTATTAGGGCAGATCCAAATGGCCTCTAAGGTTAACCCTGCTGGGTTAATTTAGTTCTACTACAAAGGCATGACTTTTTGAGGATTCTTCTAAACTACTATACATTATGGTGTCTCTCTATTCTGGCTCCTAGGTATATGGAGGATTCTCAGTTCCAGGGATTGCTCAGCTACTGCCCACCAGTGGTGATTTCTTTACCTTTATGTAGTTTTCCTCAGTCATGCTGAGACCAATACTCAGAAAAAAAAGTGAGGCTTCCCTGAAGATTTCCAAAGTGCTCCCTCTATCTCTAAAATACAAAATATGGCTGGAAATGTGGCTCAGTGGTTGAGTGCCCCTGAGTTCAATCCCCAGTACCAAAATAAAAATAAAAAACAAAAAAATGATGATCAAATTTTTTCACAATTAATTAAGAGTATAAACCTATATAGACTCTAAGTTCAACAAGCCCCAAGCAGAATAAACTAAACAAACAAAGCCAAAAACAGAAAAACAAGGCATATCATAATAAAATTGCTAAAAATCAGTGATGAAGATAAAA